GGGAAAAACACATCCGGACCGCTTAGCAGATCGATACAACCCTATTGGATGACAAAACACGTCCGGACATAGGTGATTTGAGGGTCGACATTGAAGATGCCCATAATAATACCACAGAACTGCTCCAAAGTTATCTGAAATGATGCTCATATAGCAAAGAACAGCCGAATGGGCTTCCGTGATGCCGGACCCAGCCGAGTGATTCCTTGACATGAACTAGGGATGTTCAGGCCTGCTGGCCGAGTCCTTGTTATGGAACTACCCATGGATCCACCGCCACATAGTATTAATCAATTCTCAAAAAAAATACCTAATCAGTTAGTGTCAATATATACATATGATGTTGATAGGCCATCTCTTATAAAAGGTCAAATTTGGCTTTTGGTCCACAACTTTTTGGTTGTTGGTATATCTAATTTAGAGGTCACATTGTATGTGGGGTTAATTAATGGAGTTGTCATGCCCAGAGCCTAATCATGTTTTGCTCCGTATACATTATAGCTAGCTGACAGTGGACTCCCAACACTCTTGAGAGCATTACAGCCGGCGTCATTGCGAGAGCGACCAAAATCTGACACTGTTGTGGTCATCAATGGAATGAGTGTGAAAGAAGCAGCTTAGGCTTAATGATCGATCATGGACAGTGCTCAACCATACAGTGATACAGATGATTAATTGTGTATGCATCAGTGTCCATGTCCATTTCGTGTGAAATTTGAAAATTACGGACTAAGATTTGAAACATCATTAATCGCTTAGCGAGCGTGTAGAGACAGATAGCTTTTTCCTATTTTGAACGGATTTGTTTGACCCTTTGCACACCATTTTTAGCACCAATTCCTGTAGATGGCACATACTACTTTGAAAAAGACAATAATATTTTTTACGTGAAATGATCCAGATCCATTATAAATATTGCTAAGAAGTATAAAATATTTCAAACATAATAAAAATTGCATCAAGGACCCAACACTATCAAGTATCAATACAATCACTATCGCTGCCAGAACGAGTTGTCGACGCGCCACTATATGCATGAAATTTAAGATGAACTGCAAAGTGAAAGTTAGCTCCCACACACCTGTTAATTTGTCACTAACATAATTTTCTAGTTGTTCTATCATGTTCCGTTCACTATAATTTATATCACAAACATGGTCGCCAACTGAACGTTATGATAATTTATTAAGTCTACAGAAAAAAGCACATGAAAAATACATTGAGGTTCTTATGAATGATTTTCTACATATTTGCTGGGTCAACTGTACAAAATAAAATATTTAATGAACCCAACGATCTCAAGTTGTTGATATTAATTTACACTGATTTCTCAGTAATGTAGTCTACACCCTTGTTTTCATAAACAAATGGCCCGAAACAAGCTAGGTCATCACCCCATCAAAAAAATTACTAAGGCTAGTCATAGTGGGAGTAACTTAGCTAGTAACATAGCGCACTTCAAAAAAATTCTGCTTATGTGGCAAGTAATTAATGAGAGGTGGTAACATAATATGTTACTGTAACATAGCGCTTTTCAAGACAAGATGAGTCTACTAGCTAATAAATGAATCCATCTATGATACTACTATTATGTTACTTTGCATTATGAAGGTAGTAACTTAGACTAGTGTCATATGCATGACACTAGTCTAAGTTACTCCCCACTATGACCAGCCTAACGGAGATTCCAACCCAACTAGGTCATCATGCCATTAATGGGGAGTGATTAGTTGACATCACCATCCAAACATGCTAATCAACACACCTCGATCGCACGCCGCGTGACCTGCTTGATGGAGATTGTCCTCACGGCTAAGCATCACACCATCCCTTTAAATAAAAACAAATAAATCGCTTCATGGTTAATCACACACCACGCGTGCCATCGCGAATTCCGCAAAACCGAATACAATATCGCCCAGTGCAGTACGAACATAATCTTACAAAATCGATTAAGAATTCCAGCTGGCACCGCGTGCGGTCGGTCGAGCTCCACTGCACAGACAGCCGGGCCCACATGTCAGCTGAGAAACCGCTGCGGCTTTGACGAATTTAGTTTTGTTTGCACATATTTCCAGGCCTGTAAAAATATAAGGTGGTGCGTTTCAAACGGTCGGAACTGAAGTTCTTAGAAGCATGGTCACATATGGCCTCGTGTAATTTTTGTACTACTATTCTGCTCTTGACTGATCAGTTGATTATTAAAGAAAATACACCAGTTGCTGCTATCTAGGAGTATTTAACTAGTCACTGTGATTAGTAGCTTAATTTGACTTTACCAACTGATTCTGTAATATTGAAGCACAATATTATTTTTAGTTTGGGTAAGATGCACGAAGCTGCGTTTTCAGTTTGTTTAGAACCGCAAATCCGGCCGTGTCGGCGGCGAAACCGTACCATGAATTTCGGGAAAGAGCAAGAACAAGATCACGATCATGGAATCCTTTTAGCTTTGGGTGATTAGTGTGGAGCAAAGCCAATTAGTGCTGCCACCTTAACCTTAATAAAGCCAGCTAAAGCACGCTTTGAATGTAATCTAAGCAAGTAGGATTAGGAGTGGCTACACGGTCCATCCGGGGTAGGGTATGGTATGCCTGCGATGCGTGCCACGTGAGCAGTACTACATGGAACGGCAGGCTGGCTTGTTGTCCGTTTTCCCAAACCTGCGAAGCTTCGCGCCATGACGGCGTGCCATGGCCTCACGTGGGGACCATGCGTCAGAGATGGACAGTGCCCGTGGATGCGCTCACCGCCAGCTGGTAGTAGGGGCAAAGCATTTTTCTCTTCCCCGCAAAAGGAAAAGAAAAGGTTTCTCTTTTTCTTTGTTTTGTGTTTTTATTTATTGTTGCGCATAGCATGAGAGTTGATTGCTATTGTTATGTGAAGAAAAGGAAATGTGAATCGATATTGCATCACTTTCTATGAATAAAAGGAAACGTGAGAGGTAATCCGTGTTTCTTTGTACAACACTAACTCTTTGTACTACACACATTGAGAGCCCAATCACATCTTCCGAGTTAGGTGCTTATACTATTAAACATATCATTGTTCACATCGTATTAGTAATTTGTTTCTTTTTATTATTATGTGAAAAGAGACGTGACTCATACAACCAAGAACGTGTCGCGTGAGACCCGTTATTATGGCTTTACGTTGCTGACAACGTGTGCAGATAAACATGCGGAAAAAACTCCAACTTATAACACACACTCTAACTTACGTGACATGCAATAAAACCAAAGCAACAGAGCAACAACTTTTTCAAACACCATTATATAAAACATCAAGATTAAATTAGATCAGAAATTTTCTCGCAAAAAATAAAACATCAAGAATAAATCAGATCTAGTGGAGGAAAATCCTGATGTTTGACCATCCCATTAGCAAAATATTACAAGAAAATCCTGGTGTATCACTCAAAAATTAAGGATTTTCTCAACATTCCAACAGGACGCAGAGGAGGGTAAGCTCACCTTGGCGGTAACCCTAGCCAGCCGCCCACTGTGATAACCGCCCCGCGCAGTCCAGTCCTAGTCGCTCAGGAGGTCACACACTCGGCGCTGCGCCTCCAGTCTGCTCCCAGCCTTTTTCCGGCCCAGCCCCCTCGCCTTCGCTTATATTCGCACCCCACTCCACTCTTCCCTCTCTTTGTCGCCAACACAAGCTACACACTGGCCTGAGGCTTTGTCTTGGGAAGGCGCTCGTGGTCTCGGGTAATCGCGACAAGGTCCCTGCCACCGGCCATGGACAAGAAGCAGGGCTTCTTCTCGGCGCTGCGGGAGGAGGTGGCCCGTGGGCTGTCGCCGGCGCGGGCGCGGCGGAGGGCCGAGGAGGTGGCGGCGGCGAAGGCGGCACTGCGGTACGCGGGGGGCGGCGGCGGGGAGGCGCTCGCGCCGCTCATGGAGGGCCCGGATCCGGAGGAGGCCGCCGGCGGCGACGGCGCCGGCCGCGCGCGCAGGGACGGGTGGGGGCGCTGGGTGCGCGGCCAGCTCGCGCGCGCGCCGTCGTCCGGGCCGGTGGCCTCCGCCGGCGGCGCCAGCGCGGCGAGGCGGAATGACCTGAGGATGCTGCTCGGGGTCATGGGCGCGGCGCTCGCGCCCGTGCATGTCTGCGCGGCCGAGCCGCTCCCGCACCTCAGCATCAAGGACACCCCCATTGTAAGCGCTCGCTGTTGCTCCCTTCTCTGCTCGCTTCTTCTTGCTCTAGATTGAGTTCACTCCAGTGCTCTCGCGAGTACAAATCTTTTCTGTCCATTAGAAGATTTGATTTATTGATTGCTACCGCCAACTTCTTTTGGCTGGAATTAGTAGTACTGTTTTGTTCTTTTATTATATAATTTCTTAAATGGGAGAAACTGTTCTTTGACGTTTTCTCTGAAATGTGTTCCAGAAACTTGTTGGTTTGTTAGGGGAAACACTGTATAAAAATGAGTTGCTGATGTGATGTGTTCAGCAAGGGTTCATATTATTTGCTACAAAATTGGCATCTGAACATATTGCCATTCTAAAAGGGAAAAATGGCTTTCCTTGTACTGTATGATACAGTAGACCCCTTTAACAGATAATGTCTATTTGCTGTAAAGAAGAAAGATTAAACTTAAAGCTGAATGAGCTACTTGCAGTGAAAAATGGCTCTTTACCATAGCTTTATAGCTGTTTAACAGCGAGGTATTGATCTGGTCTATGCAGGAGACTTCGTCGGCGCAGTACATTCTGCAGCAGTATCTGGCTGCCTCCGGCGGGCAGAAGCTCCTCTCTTCAGTCCGCAACTCGTATGCCATGGGGAAGGTGCGCATGGTGGCTACCGAGTGCGAGACAGCTGGTCGTGTCGTGAGGAACCGCATGGCGGCGCGCTGTGCTGAGCCTGGACGGTTCGTGCTGTGGCAGATGGCTCCGGAGATGTGGTACATTGAGCTGGCTGTTGGTGGGAGCAAGGTGCACGCCGGATGCAACGGCAAGCTCGTCTGGCGCCACACCCCATGGCTTGGTGCACATTCTGCCAAGGGACCTGTCCGCCCTCTCCGCCGCTCGCTTCAGGTACAACGCCAGCACCATTTTCACCATCTTTAGGTGGTCTTTTCTCAATTCATCTACACACCATTGTGCATGAAATTTTTTTGAAAACGGAGTATGAAGATTATTGTTCCTTTTCTCTCCAGGGCCTGGATCCTTTGACCACAGCGAGCATGTTTGCTGGTGCACGCTGCATTGGAGAGAGGAAGGTGAATGGGGACGATTGCTTCATTCTGAAGCTGTGTGCTGATCCTGAGACGCTAAGAGCACGCAGCGAGGGGCTCGCGGAGATCATCCGGCATGTCCTCTTTGGGTACTTCAGCCAGAAGAGCGGGCTTCTTGTCCACCTCGAAGATTCTCATCTCACTCGAATTCAGTCCACAACCGGAGGTGATGCGGTTTACTGGGAGACTACCATCAATTCATTCATCGAGGACTACCGGCCGGTGGAGGGGATAATGATTGCTCATTCTGGGCGCTCGGCCGTGACCCTTTTCCGTTTCGGAGAGGTGGCCATGAGCCACACCAAGACTCGCATGGAGGAGGCATGGAGCATCGAGGAGGTCGCGTTCAATGTTCCCGGTCTCTCCATGGACTGCTTCATCCCACCCACTGATATCAAGTCTGGGTCCATCAGTGAGACTGTTGAGCTTCCGCAGAGTGGGAAGAGCAAGGCCGGCGGTCTTCTCCCATGCCATGGTGCCAAGGTTGCTGCTCTAGAGAAGGCCGATGATAATGTTGCGTGGAGCGGAGCCCTGCAGCGAGATTGCAAGTGATTTCCTGGTCTGTTCATACTGCTGCTTGCAGTACTACTGACTCATTTTGATGAATGTAGGGTAGAAAGAGAAGGGCTAAAGGAGGATTTGGATCTTTGAAATTCCAAATGCCCCCTGTAAATAGGGAAGGTTAAGCAGTCACATGGTCTTCCTCTTCCATATCCCTGACCCTGAGGAGAGGCCCTGTGTGAAGAATCCTTTCTGATCTCATTCAGAGATATGGTGTAGTAGGTAGTCTTTCTGGTTTTTTTTTGCCAGTGCCTGTGGAAGAAGAACCAGGGGTGTTCTCCTCCATCCAGCCACATGATTAACCATCATGGTGGTGGCGCTGCTGTTTCCTTGGTAGCAATACTAATTATCAGAGGCCAGCGAGGAAGAAGGACTTCTTCGTCGGCAACCGAGAGTGATTTCATCGTTCCTAATTAGCAGTCCAGTGTGCTTTGGTTTGTGATAGTCTCTGGTCAAACTAACTTTTAGGGGAGACTGGAAGGTCCAGAGTGGTTGTTGCTCTTATTTTAATAGTGTTCCATATCATGGGTCTGTCTAGCTGTTTTTTTCTTTTCTCCCTTTCTCCTTCACACATCTCTCTTTATTTAGTATGAGATGGTGGTGATTGTATTTTACAGGAGCTGCTGATGTATGCCAAAAACTTCTATGAATGGATTGAGGTGTTTTTCCGTTTGTGCACTCCTTCTTCAACCCCACTTTTACTATACATGCTGAAGCATTGGTGATATTTAGCTTTGTGATGTGCCATGTTGTTAGTACCATAATGCAGCATCAGTGTATCTTTTGCCCCCTTCCTGCACTCCGCTTTAGCTTGCAGCATGTTGGGGGCCATGATTCGTTAACATGATGGTATTGGTGCCCATGTGCTTCACCTCAGCTTCTGTACTGTATACAAGTATTATTTCTTTCTTTTTTAAGGTGCAATTAGCTTTGCCTCTTGTATTATCTCTTCCTTTGTGCTCCACTCCATCAGATGCTTCAGCGTCATGCTACTACGCCTCATCATGGGGTGGCCATTGGTTATTTGGTCGTCTTCCACCGTCTTGTTTCCTGTACAATAGGGCTATTGGGGCTTTGTTTTCTCCTTGGGAAGATGGCACCAATGCTCTAGCCAAGACCAAAGGACAAAGGAAGAGGTTAAATTGCTCATGTGGTGTACTCCCTCCGTTCCTAAATATAAGTCTTTCTAGAGATTTCACTATGGACTACATACGAAGCAAAATAAGTGAATTTACACATTAAAATGCGTCTACATATATCCGTATGTGGTTCATAGTAAAATTTCTACAAAGACTTATATTTAGGAACGGAGGAAGTATATTCCAACGTGTATGGCCCGCTTGTCAACCTCATATGCAACGGCATTCTCCGATTCGTAAATCTTCGCGGTGGTCCCGAGCTAATTTTCTTGAGAGAGAAGGTTGAAAACTTGACCCGTTCTATTCTATAGCATCCCCAGCGGCTCGTCTGGAGGGTTGTCTGTATGAGGCAAAAAACACACTCCAACAGATTGTTTATGAAAAAATACAGCTTGATGTTCTCTCAATATCAGTTGCCATTCTTTAAAAGCATCTCAAAACAAATGATGTAAAAATGCTGACATGCCCAAAAGACTGCAATTTAGGACACTTTGAGCAAAAAATGTTGTTCCAACAAATGTCCTATCTACAAACGGTGACGAAAATATTTTGGGCGGTCTTAAATTTTAGCCTAAAGTGCTAAATTGCAGCACTTCTTGCGGCTGGGAACCCAACTGCTACGCTAAAACTTCCACCTGCCCGATTCCGGCTGATTCTCGCCG